AAAAAAAAAAGGAAAGACGGAAAGAGGGGGTGAAAGCATGGGGGGTAGGGAATAAGGAGGGCGAGAGATTTCACCACCATCGCCAGCCTCATGCCGTCAATAGGTCGGTGTGGTTGGTGGATACCAAATGCAGCCTGGCCTGGCCCCAAGCCCCGAGCAAACAGCATTACTTTTTTTTTTTTTTTTTTTTTTTTTATCCCACTCGATTTCATTTCCTCTCCCCCCTCCCGTCGCTTCTCACTTCTCACTTCTCACATTTCTTTCTCCTCTCCTGCCCAGCCGCAAAGCAAATCACAGGCCTGCAGCAACGCATGTCCAATCAATCTCGATATCGTACCCGTATATGACGATTCGTGATGTGACGAGGCCGCAGCAGGGAGGGGGAGACTGGCGTGGGCTAGGCTGGCTGGGAAGCAGCAGCCCTCTCTCTCTCTCACTCTCCCCTTTCCGGCCGTGCCGATGCGCGCTTGGCACGTAGCAAACGCCACCACTGCCACCCCCCTCTTCCGCGCTCTTCTTCCTGTCAGTCCGTCTCAAACACTATCTTGACGGAAAGCGCTCGCGGCTACGGAGGGGCTGGTCCCGGCTCATCAGCCTGAAAAATGCACTGGCGGCAAATCTCTGCGCTGAAATACACTTGTATGAATACGGATGGCTGGATTGCGACTAGATCGGGTGTTGGCGCACAGAAGAGGGTCCCTTGGCAAGCCGAAAAAAAAAGAAAAAAAAGAAACCAACACCGCTTTGCTTCCACGACACAAGTCACACGTCCCAAGGCTCGCCACCCCCGCGTTGTCGTTCACGTATCCCATCCATCCATCTTGGGCGACGATTGATGGACTGAGCCCTGGCCGACCCAAGGGGGAGAAAAAGGAAACGTGGTTTTGTTTCATTCAGAATCCTCAACCATACAGAGGCGGCCCGGCCATGGTCGGAAGCCAACACCTCAGTTGTCCTTGTCACTGGCAGCCTGCCCTGCCGTTTGGGTGCCCTTCGCTTCGATATCAGCAGCCCACAGGGCAGCGCCGACTGATTAGGAGGGGAGATTAGCAAATGAGCAAACGGAAATGGCGGCAGGGTTGAGACGCAGCCACTCGGCCGTTGCTTGTGGCACAATGTGCGACCCATTTTCTCCCTCGTTGGAACTTACCAGCATTGGTGCAAGAAAAGAGAAGCGATGCGACGGGCACCATCTCGAGCAGAGTGGCAACAAACCCGAACCTGGTTGCGTGCGATTCGTTGTCAATTGATGCAAGCAACAACAAGGGGGTAGGAAAACACGCAAAAAGCAACGTGTATTGGAGCGGGCGTGGGATACTAGCCACACTAGGCGAGGTGAGGGGGAAGGTGATGTTGCGACGAAAATGTGACTTACGCCGTGTAGGAGCCTGCATGCGCCTGGATCCAGGCGGACCTCCTCTCCTTGCCCCAAGATTTGAGCTGAAAGTACTGTTTCTGCCTGTTAATATCCATGTCCACTGTTTACTTTCTCCGCATGCAAATTCACAAGAGTGGTGGACATACCCGGTCGTGGACACTTTGACCCCTGGCTCGTCCTGTGAGTACCGAGCGTATTAGCGGTGGGATCACACATGGGATGCAGACTGAGCACCACAACTTGCGGAAAGTAAAGAGTGATCCCAACATACCTTGCAGCAGAATGAAAATCACGGTCCCGACAACTGGGAGACAACACACACACACACACGCGCGCGCCCCGCGTTAGCTCTGCATGCATGGCGTGTCTAGATGGAAAAGAACCGAGGGCGTGACCCTACCAGGAATGAAGTTGAGCGGCAGGTGGATCAGGTAGCGGAGGATGGCTTTGGGGCTGAAGCGGTCGAAGGGAGACTTGAGCACCTTGCCCAGCTTGCCGATGGGGTCGGAGCCTGGCTGCAGCTCTCTGCCCTCCTTGACGACGCCAGTCGCGCCGCGCGCGACGAGGGTGCCATCAAAGGTGTCGAGGAGGGCGTCCTGCATGATGAAGTTGCGGGCGATGATGGACGTGATGGTCGACGACTCGTTGAGGACCAGCAGGACCGTCGTGAACACGGCCAGCGGGCCGTTCACCCACACCAGAATGGCCAGCTGTGGGAGGTAGGTGAAGATGAACATGGGCACCGTCACCCCGGCCGACACGGCGAGGGTGGGGCCGATGCGGGACAGGAAGGGCTTCCATAGGGCACGGTGAGAGAAGAAGTAGAATATCCCCTGTTGTTTGCGTCGTTTTGGCGGTCAGAATTCCGAGCCTGGCTAATCTGGGCAGCACCCGCATTGGAGGAGGGGAGCGAGGTCGTGCCTTGATGGGGTACAGGTAGCTGCCACTTTTCGCGGCATCGTTGACCTGAATCTTTGCCTCGGCCAAGTCCTCCTTGCTGCCCCAGGGTGAATGGTCAGTACGTGAAGAGTCTGGGCGACAAGGGTCGGCGCAAAGGTGCAGACGAAACGAGACGTACACGACTTCCTGCGCCCTCGCCTGAAGCGAGCTCGCCACTCCGGAGCTTTGAGACATGCTTGCTTTTCGATCCTCGCTTGTGGTCGTATGTGTCGAACGTACGGGACGCCTTCGGAGGATTGCTTGAGCTGGCTGGCACCTCTTGCTTTTTGCAAGTTGCGAAATATGGTGGCTTGGGAGGTGTTGGTTGGCAAGGCCTGTTTATCTGTTCTTGTTGTGGGGTTGGGTGGCCGTCCAAGCGGTGCGCGTGGACGACGTCATTGACCACCCGCCTGGGTCGCCTGGGGGGCTGCCTGCGAGCTAGTGAGGTCTCACCAGGACGGCCAATAAGGTGTCCTTTTCAAGCAGCGCTAGTTAGACTAGCATCATCCGAACATATCAAATGATACTGTAAATCGCCGTTCCTATTCCGCACAAAAAGTCCAGCTTCTTCTATCCCTTGCTGCGTCCCATGCTATATCTCATCTGCACTGAAAGCTCATTTCTTAAGGCTGTGGATAATATGGAGCTGCAGGTTGACCTATCAGGTGGCATGCCTGGATGCGAACCGGGACTTGACCTTTGATGATGTCAGAGAGACCTAGAGTCGGATAATGTGTGATGCGCAGACTTTTGTTGGCAGGTGTCACCAGCTACGACTCCGGATCAGAGGCGGGTCGGCAATGACCCTCAGTTGTCAGTGCGTGCAGCCGTGGGAGGCAGACGGCCCTCTGATTTTTTTATAAGGTTATTTTATTTCTTTCCTCAAACCCTGACCCACCCCCAGTCGCCACCACGAACGTGACCACCCGGAAAAGCAACAGGCTGCGGGGGAGCGGACCAGATTCCGCAAAAAAAAAAAAAAAAAAAAAAAAAAAAAGAAGGGCCCTAGCCGATTGTGACGCGGCTGATGGCGCAACTGGTCGGGACACTGGCAGTCGGATGCATTCGCAAGCTAATCCTCCCTTCCCACCTCGTGGCCACATGGGCGCTCCAGGGCACGTTTGCAAGGCCCCATCCCATCTCCCGTCTCCCGTGCTCCCCTTCTTTTGCCAGACGGGCTTTGGAGCAATACCTAATCCTTGTGAGGATCCGAGAGAGTTTGGGAGGAAGAGAGAAAGTACCGGGAGCGCGGTGCTGAGTGGGTGCGCGGCCCACTCTGGGCCCGCCGCGGGCTTCGGCAGGAAGGCAACATGGCTGAGGGCAGGTGGGCAGGGTGGCAGACACTAGAGTAATCACTCACTCTCAAACCCAAGACAGTGATTATCCAGCCAGCCAGCCAGCCAGCCAGCCAGCCAAGCCGTCCAACCAGCTATCCACCCACCCACCCAGACACCTCCCACGCCCAATAATGGTGCTCGATAAGGAGAGAAATCTGGCCCAGACCACCAGAGGTCCATCCCGAGGTGGGAGTGGGTGACCGCTGCCCCACACACAACCCCTGCCGCCATCCCATCCCCACCCTTCTGAGCCTTCCGCGGAGGGATGGTTGCTTTGCGAACAAGGAAGTGCAAAGGGCGGCCCCTCTCTCCCTTCCCTCCGCGTGGCGCGCTAGCGTGTGGTAGTTCCTGAGCGGCCCCGCTTGGTCCGGGCAATGGCGTTTCCCTCGGCCCTAGTTGCGTCTGGCCTTGCTGGAAACAGCCCCCCCATCCTGGACGTGGGCGAGCCATGGATGGCGCCGGGGTGGGAATAACAGCCGGACTCCTCCCCCGGGAGGCTACCTACATATATGTACATGAGAGGAAGAAGCAAATGGAGGCGTGGGAGGCGTGGGAGGCAAAAAGGGAGGAGGAGGCCAGCGTCCTGGCGGATAATGAATTGAGACCGTGCCCAGGAGGGGAGGGGAGTTATGCACGGCAAAAGGAAAAGAGGGTGTGGGACAGAATCCTGGCACTGCTGGCAGCAAATGCTGGCAGGAGCAAATTGTGGCTGCCAGAACCGGTGTGTTATTTTGCGGTTTGCAGTGCTTGCGGTGCTCTGGCGATGGGCTTTCCGTCTATAAAAGGAGCGGTCGGGCCCCCTCGAGGCTGCGCCAATATGTCTCAGGAAACATGTCCAAAGGGAGACAAACAGAACATCACCAAGCCTCGAGACCCGAACACCTCCCCAGACATTTACTTTCGGTTCCGCACCCACAACAACTTGTTGGTGCACTTGCTGCCCCTTCGCTTATTTCTACACTTGTATTTTTTTGCTTTTGATATAAAGTTCACCTACTCGACCCGCCCTACGGCCGTCCTCGCCCGGCTCTTGATCTTGTCAGTAGCTCAATCAGCCACCCCCTCGTCTAGGTCGGCCCAGCGCGTCTAAACCAGACCGGCCATCCCGTCCTCGCATCAAAAACCCTCGCATAAAAAACCTCCCTTCCGCCCGGCCCCGTCTTCCTACATGCCTTCCCCTTTGCACCCGTTCCATCTCATCCCAAGGACCAAACATAACATTGCCTTCAATGCGTCAAGCCGGCAGAGCCCAGGCGCCAAGCCATAGCCCCAACCTCAGTGTCACCGGCTGCACGCGGAAACTGACCCTCACCTTCGACAGGATCACGCGCAAGGCCGTCTTCCACGTCGAGGACAGCATCTCCATCTTCAACCACGCCACGCAGCGCCGCACCGTCGCCACGGTTCTGCACTCGAGGCCCGCGTCGGGATGAGAGTCACCGACCTGCTCAACTCCATCGAGGAGGACGTCGACATGGTCAAGGCGGAGCCCCGCTGCGGCTCGGAGGAGCCGTGGCGGTCATCCCCCTCGCCCGCCGCGTCGTCATCGTCGTCGTCGTCATCGTCGTCCGCCGCCAGCACCCCGTCGTCGGCGTCCTTCACGCCCGCCATGTCGCCCGCCGGCCCCTCGCGGGCTGCGGGCTCCGACGTGGGCGACTCGGACGCGATCGACATCAAGATGGAGATGGTAGAAGAGAAGGCCGGCATCGTGTCCAACTCCGTATCGCCCGCCCCTCCCCGTTTCCATCCTGCAAACTACCACCAGTCCCTCTCCCTCTCGCAGTATCCCATGTCCACCTGGCAGGCACCGCCCCCCGTCTTGGGCTGGGCGGCCTGGATGGCGCCGCCGTCGGGGCTCTACCCGCTGCACCGGCTGAACACGTACCCGCACGGCCCAATGTCCATGTCTGACACGGACATGGCATACGCGCTCGCCTTGCCTCGGCCCAAAAGCCTCTACCTGCCGCACGAGTGCGCCGGGCTTGCTGGAGGGCCAAGTCTGATGGCTTTCCACTGCCACATGCTGCAGTTCAGGCTACCAAAGCTCCGCCTGCACGGAAAGAGCATCCGCGACCTTGGATTCGAATAGTAAGGCACCCAAGACCCCTGCCGACGGGGACCGGTCCAGCAATACATAACCCCCTTTCTTTCCTCTACCCCCTTTCCCCAAAAACGGAGACAACGACTGACACCCTCTGTCCCCATACAGCCTCGACGCAAAGCGCAGGTGGAACATGTACCCCAACGACGACATCCTCGGGATCGCGACGGAGCGGCTGGCGTGGAGGGCCATGGTCGCCATCATGTCCTTCCGGGAGGAGGATCACGTGGCCAACTTTGTCAGCGAGGTGCACGAGGCCATCGCGGGGTGCCGGCCCGACCTCCCCACGCGCCACCTGGAGGCGGGCCTGCACGGCACGCTGTCCATGATCCGCCTCATGCGCCAGTGGTGCCGGGAGCCCGCCGCGGTCCGCATGGCCGAGGAGCTGGCCGTCGAGCTCGTCTGGCGGCTCAACTTTGACTACGTCGGCTACGTCGAGGACGGCACCCTCTGCGGCGCCGACGGCGGCATGCGCGCCATCTTCACCGACTACTGCAGCATCGAGGACGACCTCGGCCTCCTGGCCGAGATCACCTCGTTCTTCCCCGAGGGCGCCAGGGAGTGCCGCGGCGTTCGCATGGTAACGTTTGAAGAAGATGGACTCCCGGACGGCATTACCTGTTGGTTTTCCCTCTCTCTCTCTTCCTTTTTTTTCTCTTCCCTCCCCTTCCCGCGAATGCCACACTGACACGTCCCGAACAAGACGAGACAAAAATCGCCATCCTCATCAACGAGACCATCACCCTGCTCGAGGAGCGCACCGACTGCGTCAACTGGCCCCGCGAGGTGGCCGAGCACTGCGCCCGCTACGTCCTGAGGAGGGGCCCTTGGTACGCCTACAGCTGCCTGTGGCACCTGGACCGCTGGCTGTGGGGCTCCTCCCGCGCGAGCGAGCGCCTCAAGGACAGGGTCTCGGCCGCGCTCCGCCTCGTCAGCCAGCACTCGCACGACCGGAGGTTCCCGCCCGTCCCGGCCCCCGAGAAGGCGCCCGTCACGAAATGCGGAGATTGTGGCTGCCACCCGAATCCGCCGCCTGCCTTTGAGGAGTCTTCTCAGTGACTCTCTCCTCTTGCCGCGTTTTCCCTCCGCTCCGCCACCAACCCACCCTTTCCGATCTGGTTTCTCCTGCCGAAGACGTCACCCTCTGTATTTCGTGTATTTCTCACCTTCATATGCGGACACATGCCTCGTTGACGTTGTTGTTGCACACACAGAAAACCAAAACAACAAAAAAACAACAAAAAGGTTGAAACATCCAGCCACCGCGACGCCTCTCACATCATACTGTCCGGCTTCCTCATTTATTTGCTTTTGCTTTTATAAATGGTGTCGTTTCCTTGCTTCACGGTGTCATTATTCATATTTCTCTTGGCCTCCCGGCGTCACTCGTCTATTTGTTGGGGATACTTTGGTGCAAGTCGTTTCTTTTTCCGCCTTCCGTGTTATTTCAGTCGCTTCACGTGGAACACTTGTTTACAAAACAACCCAAAAAAAAAAAAAAAGCCATAAAAGCAAACGAAATCGAAAAAAAAAGCCAAAGGGGACGCACCACATATCAACAAACCTTCCTCTTTAGCTCTTGCTCTGGTTCTTCACTGTCGTTACTCTCACCGGGTTCTCAGCACCCCCCACCTTCTTTCCTTGTCCTTTTCTACCACACCCTTCACAGGAAATGTATTCTCAGCGCTTGCCCGCCCTTTCTTCCCTTTGTACCGCCGCCCGGATAGAGCACTGCTGCCAGTACACGGTCGAGCAGTCGGTTCCGGGCAGACATCCACTCCTTTGGCGGCAGCGTTTCCGAGTCTCCACGCGACCAGTTTTATGTTCATGTTCCACGTTTCACGCTTCATGGACGTGGACGGATGTATGGATATGTTATGATTTACGCCAGTGGGGGTACATGCGAGGCGGCCAGATGTGCTTTGCTTTGCTTTGCTTTGCTTATTGAGCTTGAGCATCTGTGTGTTTATATGCCACGATCCTTGGGTCTGGTAGACACGGGATGTTCAAGCTAAAGGTACTCTGGAAATTGCAATGAAACTGTTACTTCTTCTTTGCTCCTGTCCCTTGTTGACGTGACCATCTTTTGAGCCGCCGTTGTAGTGATCACAACGCCCAGAAGCCCCCACACCCTGCCCTGCCCTGGTATACCACCAGCATGTGTGCTCCCCCTCCCATCCTGTTACCCCCCTCCAATCGTGGATTTTTTTTCCTACCCACGCCAAACCCAAACTGGAAGCGCCTTGGAATTCTCCGGCGGGAGAATGCGGAGAATTTAGAAAGAGAGTGGTGGCGGCCCTTAGCGTACGTGCTGTAGCAAATCTAAAAGCAGAAAGACAAGGCGAAAAAGAAAAAAAAAAGGTCAAAGCTCGACGGAACCATAGTGTGGAACGTATTGACAGAGCAGCTGACGTAACGCGGTGCTTGGACATGGAGCCGTATGCCCCGCTTGAGTTCCGGGGGACGTTGGACTTGTTCCGTGGTGGTGGGTCCCGTTGATTTGGTGCCGTCTGCGGCTCACTCTTTGCCTACCCATGGTTGCGCTCGCTGGGTGCCTTGGGGGGGAGAGAACCCTATGAGCAGTTGTTTTCTTTGCAAGCGGTGCAAACCCAGCCGTTTGACCAATAGGCCAGGTTGGAACAGCCGCAAGAGCAGGTGCACGGCGCCGCAGCCATCATGTGGGCTTGGTGGTGGGTCGAGGAGGAAGAAGCCCTTGACTGTATCGAGAATGGCTAGTGGGGTGCGGCGAGTATTTGATACTGGCAGTAAAGATGAGATATTGGGCTTTTACGCGGCGGGTATCCGAGTAGAAATGAAGTGCTTGAGTTGTGGCGATGGACGAGTTCGAGAAGAGGATAGGAGGCCCGGCCCAGATCTAGTGGGCGGCTGGAAGAAGGTCATTCTCGCCGAGAGGGGTCATACTTATACTTGCCTGGTAATGTGTACGTCTTGGTCGGCGAGCTCGTTCCTACATTCCTTTCGACGAAAACCATCACAAACTCAACTACCTACACAGCAGGCTAGTCGCATTACACTGCGGTTACCAAGGACCTTGCAGAATAACATGCATGCGGCGGTCCCTGTTGGTCCAGGACGTCAACCGAGCCCTGGTTGGTCCGGGGAAGGAGGGTGCGGCAGGCCGGCTTGGCCTGGTGATTGGAAATGAATGCGGGTATTGCCTTCGGGACTTGAGCGAAGAGGTCAAGGCCCGGCGGAGGAGCAAGCGGACGTTACTCCAAGCTAAAAGCAGGGCATGCATAACATACGAGCTTGCGCGCCCTCGGACAGGCGCTAGAAGGTCACACCCGCAGGCACCCCAGGCGCGAGTGACCTCTATCCCGTATCCGCGACTACCCGAAGCCAATCGCAACATTGCGGAGACGGCCGGGCGGGTCACCGGCGGTGATCTATAAGCTCGTCGACCTGGGAGTGAAATGCCCGATGACCGATGGGCTGGGTGGGTGGAGAGCTGGGAAGCTTGGCTGAGGGATTGCATCATGGACAGGGCATCCGGCGACGTCCCTGACCCTCTCGACTCCTGACAAGGGTACGGCAAATAAAGCACGTAGCAACTAGCTCAAGAGATGGACCGAGTGACGAACGGGTCTGCGATCCCCCCCACGTAGATGCATACTCAAGATACGGGCTATGTACCTACATGGAAAGGCGGGTAGATAGGCAGCCAGGTCTTGTGCTACAAGAGGGAAAACGGCCGAAAGGCAAAAGGAAGAGGGGACCGGCTGAGGTTGCGGGATACCCGAAGCGGGTAAAAGCAGGAGAATCAGCAGAAAGGAGTAAACCAGGAGTGAGGGACGGGGATAAGAAAGAAAAAAAAAAAGCAAAGAAAACCCCATGTGGCAGTCTCACACGCATTAGCCATGGTTTTGCTGTCAGGAAGAGGCAGGCGGACTACTGGGCTGCATGGACAAGACGCACGACGCAAAGCATTCATCACTAGTAACCCCAATCGGGAGCAGCCAACCACGAGGGCGCGATACTGCTGGGATTGCGGCGGGAGAGGGCGCCAGGGTGCGTGCGAGGGTTACGAGGAAATGGTCGTTATCGCGCCCATCCGTCCGGGGCGGGGGAGGGAGGGCACCTTCGGGCATGGGCTGGGGGCAGCGGCAGACCACATCCAGTACAGGGTGGTCCAGTACAGAGTACAGAGTGGGTGGTGGTCACGGAGTAGGACTAGGGGGGGGGCTCTCGGCTTGCCTGGCGGATCGTTCCCCGAGATGGCAGGTTGCTGGGATGGATTTCAAAGGCTTGCGGCCTGCATGCTTAGTTTGGGTTGCAGTGCAGCAGAAAGGAAATTGCTCCCTGGCACCGGCGAGAAAACGAAGAATGAAGCGGAAGGGCGCAGTCGAGACGCGGCCAGTAAAAACGAGCACGGCCGACCGGTCTCTGTTCCACGAGCTCCGTGGCTTGCCGTTTGGAATGGAACACGGGCGGTTGAAAGCCCTGGCGGCTGATGGGGTCCTGCAGCTGTCAGCGTCTGGGCGTCTGTGCACGCCGATCCATGGCCGCTGTCTTCAAGGGGGAGGCAGCTGCTAGTGCTCCTCCATCGTTCCCCACTTGATCGGAGTTGACCTGGCACCAACCG